TCATAAAAGATTGTCCATCAAAACATGTTTCATGAGAGACTCACCTAGATATAGTAAGGAATTCACCACTATAAAAAAGTAAAAAGAATCGACATATTTAGCATTACCAGTGAAAGGAAAACCCTGATTCCTAAAACATGCCTTTCTCATGTCTATCGATACAAAGATGAACGATGAAATCGATAAAAAATTTGAAAAATATGTCTTGCTGATGTCAAAACTGTCAAAGCTAACAAAAAAGAAGAGTGTACAACAAAATTAACAACAAACATTACATAAAAATACTGAGCCATTAAGCTTTAAGGTTGACAGAAATGTGGTGCTCGGAAAATAAGGTTAGAGGTCTTTGAAACTCCGAAGGCTAAAAAGAATGAACCAAGTAAAATATCTGGGTATAATTCTAGATAGCAAACTTACTGGAAACCAATACTTACAAAGAGTGACCAACAAATGTAAAATGTCTCTATTTTAGGAAGACAGTCATTTGGGATTAAAACTAAAAACAGTCCACTGGCTATATTCGGCAATAACTAGACCCATGATAACTTATGGAGAGATTGTTTGGTGGTCAAAAGCCTCTATGGTAATCATTCTAAACATTCCATCCCTTGACCTAGTCATAAAGAGGGAGGCCAGAATAAGTGCATACTGTACATCGCCAACAACTGGAACTTACTGGGAAAAATAAAACATACATATACATACCAGAATAGCACATGAGGTAAATGATCCTATATTAAACATGGGATCAGATCACATGCCTAACTTTCAACAGACTCTTCCAGGTCAACTGCAACTGGAACGAGGTAAGTAAGGAGGTAGAGGTAGTATACAGATGAATCTAAAACTAACAAGGGAGAAAGCTCTGGCGTACATGGAGTTAAACCCAAATGTGACATCGCCGTCTTACTGGGAAAACATACAACTGTACTTCAGGCTGAAATACATGTCCAAAAAACAAAACATCTTAATTCTTTCAGATAACCAGGCCCTTGGTTCAAACAGAAGTCAAAGCTGGTCTGGAAACCCCACAATAAGGTAAAACTAGCGTGGACGGTATCAAATAAAATGTAAAGACTGATGAACACGTCAAAGAGGGATCAGAACTACCATTCACAGGACGCGAACCCGTATTTGGGATAAGCAAAACCTCGACAGGCAGTAAACAGGTGGATGACCCCAAAAACCCAAATGCATTGGCAACAGAGGACACATAATCAGTAAGCTAAGAGAGCCAAACCTAAGCATGGCTGCTGAGGTACTAGAGCCCGCAAGGCTTCAGATATCCACAGTTGTGGGATTACTAACGGACCTCTGCTTGCTGAAGCACCTTCATGTGATGGGAGAACACAATAAGCCCACTACGTGTAGACTCTGCAAGAAAAACATCTAGTTATCTTCGAAAGCGAAGCTCTTGCTTGGCTGAGACTTACCCTTTTCGGCCTAGAGCTGGAAAGAATACCGCAGCAACACTTGGGAACTTAGTAAAACTAACCAAAGGCATAGGACTATTCCAAAGATAGTACCTGCATAAGGGAAAAGCAGGGGAATACAATAGATTCAAGAAGCCGCAATGGTTTGAGCCAAATCTAATCCTACCTGCTTATAACCGATAAAGATAAAAAGAGACATTAAGTCCAGTTACCAATCTAAATACAAATTCAAATTTAAAGAAGATTTAATAGATTGAACAAAAATATCAACATAGTTGTTAAGAGTTAAAGAGTGAAAAAGGTCGATAACAAAATTAAACGCATTAACAAATTTTAAATTACAAATATGGTCCTAAGACAGGGGTATCAAGGATTGAGACCAGTAATGAAAAAGAAGAAAACAAGAAATTAAGTAAATATAACAAAATATGAATCTAAAATTAAGTCAGTATTTCCTCTCATTTTTCCATTGTTAATTGTAACATTTTAACAATTTTTTCCAAACATTTGCTTAAAAAATGGATAGATATCGGATTTAAATAAATTTTTGACTTTTTAAGAAACTACGTAGGCCGAAACTATACGCGACAATCAGATATAATGGGTCCTATGATTGAACGTTTACGTTATCCGTAACGTACATGGGGTCCTATGATTTAACGTTTTTGTTATCCGTAACGTACATGTTAGGCTGAGTTTTAACAGTAATGAGGCAAGTTCGTAAGATGGAAAACTTTTTCCAACACATTACTGTTATTTTCCGCCTGTTATGTTCTAATTTAACAGTTTTCAATCATACAAATTTGCCTCGTTACTGTTAAAACTCGGCCTAACATGTACGTTACGGATAACGTAAACGTTCAATCATAGGACCCATGTTAGGCCGAGTTTTAACAGCAACGAGACAAATTCGTATGATGTAAAGTCTTTCATAACACATTACTGTTATTTTCCACCTGTTATGTTCTAATTTAACATATCGGCTCAAGAGCCTCTAATAACATGTCTTTAAGTGCCCAACGTCTATGTTACCACTTTATTTGTTTATTATTTAATTATCTAATACCTATATTGCTATAATCTGAATTCTTAGTATATTTAAATCTATTTTTAATTTATATGATTTGTAAATGCTAGCAAAGGTTTGCATTTTTTTAATCTATTTGCTTTCCCCGTGAAAATAATTTTGTTTTTCCTAACAACATTAAGTAGCTCCTCATACTATTTCACAGTTGTTTTAGCTAATCTTTTAGCCATAATAAAATAAACAAAATGAAAAATTAACTACAAAAAATTCTAACCCAATTGTTGTTGTTTTCAAATTCAGAAAAACATGAAAACCTCATTTTTAGAAATGAAGTGAAGTTAGGTGTATCTTGTGCGCACGCGCAATAACGCAAATAAATACTTTCTTTCATTAGTAACAGCCAGGTAAACATCTTCCGTTATCGTTTCTCTCAATCATACCGATACGACACCTACTGTTATTTCATGTTATCTATTCCCTGTTAGCATAATATAACAGATTCGTGTTAAAATTAACGTAAACGTTCAATCATAGGACCCAATAACATTTATATTATATTGATTTTGGGAGTTTTTTTACTTCATATTTTTAAGCGTTTCCAGGGCGACATATATATTCAGAAATGTATTAAGTGTGCCTAAAATGGTATTAAAAAAATAAAATTTAATCCAGTTATGTATTGGCGGATTTTTCCCAAAATATAATTATCAATAATGATGTAATTATTATTTCAGTTGTTTTCTTTTTCTATATCTGGAATTTAAAATTATTATCAAACAACGTGGTACAAAAATATTATGAATAATACGATAATAAAACAGCATTATCGACCGATTATTTCACTTTAATCGCGGCGGCGGCGGCGGCAGTACAAAAAACGATTATAGAGCAAGCTGTGAATTTTGATTCCTGACCTCACCACTGACCTAGGGAACAGTCGACAATCGAGATTGAATTTCGTAGAGCACTCGTTATTTTTAGAGGTCAATGTCACGACAAGACTCGATTTTATTTATCTCGCTATTTATTATTATATTGACGTAAGCAGGTGCGTTAGCCCGCGATTTTGTTTTGGAATGTCTACGCATAGGCGTAGCAAGCACGGTTGGGCTGAAAACGGTTCCACCACGTCGAAATTAGCAAAAGTGCAAGTAGGACTGTTCATTAATTATTGTGTTAACTGTTTCTCGGAGTTGAGTTCTTAAATAAAATATCGATTTCCAATTTGGAACAAGATTTATCGCAAACTGTTTTTACGACTTTATGTATCTGGTTTTTAAAAATTACAGACTCAAATATTATTCTAAAATAAAGTCATCTTTCCTTAAACTAAGCATTATTCATCAATACTATGATATTAACTCTCGATTTTACAATCAGCGGCATACACTGAAAAAACAGTTCTTTAAATTTACAGAACATAACGTTGGCAATTTTGTAACCCACGTTAAATTTTGTAATATTCAAAATTACAATATTTAATATGTTACATTAGGTAGTTTTAATTAATATATTACGTAAGTAAACTTAATATTGTGAAAAATTACCTGCATTACAGAATATATTATGCGAGATATTTATTCCTGATATTATACCATGTAAATAGTATTTACATTATCAGGTGTGTTTAATATATTTACCTAATAAATATAGGTAAAGTTTACATATTAAATATTGAAAATTTACAGAATTTTTTCAGTGTAGATAGGCGTTAATTGTAAATTAGAAATGACCAACAACACACGACTAATGTATTATAACATTTATTATGCCTTAACTTTACCTATAGGGTCTATTATATCCTATTATTATATTCTTACTTTAAATGCATCCAAATATTTTATAACATCAGTTTCATTAAAACCTAATCCTATTTTAGTATTTAATTCAAGTATGAGATAAATAACTACAAAGACCTGAACATTTGACGATCTTGGTAGGTATAACGTTAGACAAAAAGCTTACAAAAATTGTACTAGCTTCATCCAAAATGTATAGTTTTTCAATTTCATCATCGCGCATCGTTTCAGTATTGTCATTATTTTTAATACGTCTGTATTTGGATAAAGATAAAATATATGTAACGATCCAAAATGTGAGATTAAAAAAATATTCCTGAAATGAAGATTCTTATGAAAACCCTGTTTGTATTAATAACTATTGTTTACGCTATTAACATTCAATAAATTTTTGTTCTATTTTTAGTTTGGGTAATTCTATAGATTTTAATACGTAATTTATCTGTGAAATATTGTTTATTTGGCAAACAATCAACATTTTAATAATTTTTTGATATTTGAGCATAAATAATGGCTGCATATTACTTTGTCCTAATCTTTTCTGCATCCTCTATTCTTCTTCACAACATACCGTAAGTATATTTAGTACGACTTAATATACGGCCTGCGAGCTGTGATGTGCTATTAAGCCTCAGTTGTTATACTTTACCTACGCTGTTTCTCCAACGGTCGCCCTTGCAAGTACTGACCGCGGTCAGCCCTGCTTGACTACATCGTAATAAATAATAAAACTTGACTTACCGGTATGCGTTCTTTGATGCGCCTTCAAATGCGAGCTCTTGGTATAAACTTTCTTACATCCGAGGAATTGGCACTTGTGTATCCGCCTTTTGGAATCGGGCGAATGGTCCAAACGGGAATGATGCTTTTGCGGCGTCGAAGACGTCGTTATACTACCACTAGAATTACTATTACTAACCGTTGGCGGCCTAGAGGGCACCACCGAGATGTAGCGCGTCAGACCGGAAGCCCGAACCCGAACGATCGTGTTCCGGTTCGAGATGCGCAGTCCGCAAACGTCCAAGTCACTCGCGCTCGAGCTTTCGTTGCTGAGCCCCCCCTGGCCCGATTCCGGACTAGAGGGAGGAGTTAGGGTGGCGGGGTTTCGCGACGACAATCGCAACTGCACGTCGCTGTCTTCGTCGTCGTCTTCTTCTTCCTGCAAATAAATTAAAATGGCATTATCTTAAGAATTAGCTATATCATCAACAGTGTCAGGAAATATTATCAACAGTGTCAGAAAATATCATCAACAGTGTCATTAAATATCAAAAGAGTCAGGAAATATCATCAACAGTGTCAGGAAATATAATCAACAGTGTCATATAATATGATCAACAGAGTCATAGAATATCATCAACAGTGTCAGGGAATATCAATAATAATGTCAGGAAATATCATCGCCAGTTTAATGGAATATTATCAACAAGCATGTATAAGTATGTATAAAAAATCACTAACAAAAAAATAATTAGCTATTAAAAAAATTAATATATTTATACAAAAAACAATTATGTGGCCAATAGAACAATCTGAGGAAAACCCCACTCTCCCCAAACACAACACAAACACTGTCATGGAATATGATTAACAGTGTCAAGAAATATCATCCACAGTGTAAGGAAATATCTTCAAAAGTGTCGTTGAATATCACCAACAATTTCATAAGTTTCAAAAGTATCATGGAATATCAACAGTGTCATGGAATATCAACGGCGTCATGGAATATCAACAGTGTTATGAGATATCAAAAGTGTCATGGAATATCAACGGCGTCATGGAATATCAACAGCGTCATGAAATATCTTCAACAATGTCATTGAATATCACCAACAATTTCATGAAGTATCAAAAGCGTCGCAAAATATCATCAACAGAGTCAAAGAATATCAAGTATCGTTAAACATCAACCGAAAATTTAATTATCAAAAAAATGCAATTTATTTATTCAATAAAATAATAAACAATAATTAAGACAATCGTAAAACAAGCAACAAAATAGAATAGCAACAATTAGAAGTGTCATAAAATATCAATACAATAGTATCAAAGAAAATAAACAGCATCTTTATAAAATACTTTTAAACGTAGCAGGTAATTCAAACAACAATCATCATATAAAATAATCAATCAACCATGTCATAGCATACCTAATCAGAACAGTGGCACAGCATATCAATTACACTAATCAAGAATACAATCAGAAATTAATAACATCGCAGAATATAAACATTATCAAAGATGAACATCGTCAAAGAGTCCCTTTATAAGCATAATAAAATATCATCTATTATAGAATATTTTCAAGTGGATGATAGGACAAAGTCTGAGAGAAAATCAACTGTGTCGTAGAATATCTTTGAAAGGATCAGAAAATTTAAATCTATATTACACTATATTAATTCAAAAAAGGATCAAAGAATTTAAATAAAAAAAAATTAAAAAAGGTAAAATAATAAATTAGAGAAAATAAGTAATACAAGTAATTATATAATAAATGACAAAAAATATCAACCTTAGAAATAATTAATATAATAAGAAGTGTTGAAAAATATCCTTAAGGCGTCACAAAATATCTAGAACATCGTCAAAGAATATAATAAAAACTTTATAGAATGTCATCACATTGCGATAATATTTGAAAAAATTAACAACGTATCATGGATTATATTCAACAAGATGATAGAATATATTAAAAAGAATGGGACAATTTCATTAATTTAAAATAGTGTGAGCCCATAATGTAAATTTTAAGCAGAATCGCATGCTTGTTGAATAACAACAAACCCATCAAAATAATTAAGACAACAAAGTCTGTATGTTATTGAAAAAGTACAAAACTTAAAAATCAGTTACCATAGTTTTTTTGATAAACAAAAACAATATATCGGAGTGGAAAATTTTAATAAGCTAAATATAAGAGTGTAGTACAATATTTTTAGAACTTTAAAAAGTTCATTAAATCATCTTTATTTTTCTTAAATCTATGAAGGATTATTTATTTAGTTGAATCTTTTCATAAAGAGCTTCCCTGTTTTATTAATATTTTGTAAGAGATTTTCTAGAAATCTTTTTTATTATGAGTAATACATAAGACTTCAAAGGTACGTTAACTTTTTCTAAATGAGGTACAAAATTAATTATGGAAAAAAAGAGTCCAAAATTAGACCCTTGCGGAACGTCTGAAGCTTATGTGTAAATTAGATAGTATCTCATTAATTTCTATTGTTTAGCGTTGGTACAACAATTAATTATTATTTATATATGTATTAGAAAAGAAATAGCTAAAAATAAAGAACCCACTATTCAGAGACCGTAGAAATATCAATTGAAAATTAAAGCTGTGTCCTTTTTCATGATTATATGGACTTTACAAAGACTAATGGGTCGCAGTTTTATGGAATAGACTGGACATGATTCTTCTAGGTCTAGACTGTTATAATGGCCCATTTTTCAGATTTTCCAATAAAGTTTACAAGACTTCCAAAGCTTACTACTAAAAATATTTTCCGCTTGATAGTTAAAGAATTTAAAGTAATACGAAAACAAATAATTCCAACAAATTTTTTTAACGACTTCCATTATTAAACTTTCCAGACATCTCCGAAAAGTTCATCCTATTGCACCCACTATCTAACTCAAAACTCAAACTTATAAGTTTCAGAAACACGAATATTTTATTTCAACTCGGACGGGTTTGCCAGTTCGTCTTCCCCCTACCCCTTACTAGCTGTTCAATTGGGATGTCCGTGATCGTCTTATAAAATTTATATTTTAAACTTCTATGGACGTTCTCGAGTATAACTCGTTTTAACTACTCAGAGATTCTGTGGTTGAACTCCATTACTTGCAATATGTTTTATTTGTTCGTTTTACGATATCAGGATTTAAAAAATAAATAAAACGTGAATTGCAGAAAATAACGGCACAAGTTTCGCAAGAAAGAAATAAAATATATAGATAAACAGGGTCTCTAAAAGCTATGAAAACTATAGACTCCTGGGATAAAAATAGGATGATTTAACCCAACTTACCTATATGCAAAATCTTCTGGTTAAGTATAAGGCGTGAAACTTTTTTCAAAAAATCTGCGCAACATAATACTTTCCTTTTATAGTATCATGCGTCACTGTTTTGTTTTTAAGTTTTAGGAATTAAGTTAAACACAAAATTGGACCTACCTCATCGTCGATGGGCTCTTGCTTGACCAATATGGCGCACGATAGGGCACCATCCCATGACATGGGCGAACTGGCCGTACTAAAAGCGTCAAAATGGTTGTCATTATAGTCGTAGCCGTACCACGTTCGTTCCACATCCGAAGGAAGTTTTTTGTAGGACTTCATTTTGGGTTCGTCCTTCAGGTACCTTTCCATTTCGTAACATGTCTGTAACAAATAAAAAAGATATTAGGTAACATTTTCGGCCATACCAAAGAAAAGATATGAATGTTTGCTGTATGTATGGATAATCAATGCCTAAAAATGTAACACTATTAATAATATAAAAACTCTTTCCACAGTCTCTTTACTAGCCTGATCTAGCACCAGCCAATGTTTAATTTTCCAAATTGAAAAGCATGTTATAATGCCTGACGTTTTGATACAATTAATGTATTTATTAGCAATTTTCCCGTAGAAGATTCTTATTATATTTAAATATTAAATTATTATTTTGTTATCGCAATGACAAATGTGGCATAAATGGAATTAAGTCAAAATAGGGATGTATCGATTTTTGTATAATATGTAATAGCACCATGATTACTAATTAATTAGCCCTTTAAGATTTATAAAAAAATTATTAGCTCTATTTTTATTGTTATCAAATACCACCTGTCACTTTACATGATTCATTATCTGTCATGTCATATTACCTCATCTGTCATGTCATCTGTCACTTTACAGATCGCATCAAATTGAACTTTTCGTATGCCGCTTGTACGATCACGTGAACGCATGTCGGTGCAAATGCTTGACGCCTGCCTATCTTTGCCATGGTGAATGACAATTATTGTTAAGTGTTTCAACTTCCATCAAATCCCATATAAAAAGAAAATAAAATAAGTCGCTAACTTGTGTATAGTTCTATAAAATCCGCCAAAGGTTGTAAATTTATAGTGTCACATTAACAAGTATTCAACTTCGGACAAGTTTAAATCTGGCCATTAGTTGATTGGTCAATCGTTTGATGGGTTAATATACTCATGTAACACCTTTTTGTTTAATTGTTGAACAGTGGACCAAATTAAATAGTGAACAGTGAGTGAAAGTGGCAGTAATGGTGATTATAACATACAAATAATAGGAATTATACTTGGTCTTATAAATGGTGAAATAAATTAATATTATGGGGAGAAATTGTGCTATTTTTAATTGTGACTATAAACCGCACGAAATATTGTTTTATTTAAGTGCTAAAATTCATATTTTCTGACTCATCCTTTAATAACTTGTTTCTAAAACTAATAATAAATTTTATTAACTGAAGTAGAAACTGTTTTACATTGTTTTCATATAAAATTCCCGCCTATACATAATCTATCCCAATGTTTTTGTGCATAATATGGCGTACCAATAGGCCACTTAAAAGAGGAATATCCCTAAGCGCCCTCTACTTACACCTTTTATTACAATCACACAGTCAAATAATGCAGAACAAAATATTTACATTGAGTTGCCCGCCTCGGTTGTCTTTGAATTAACTCAATATTTCTTACAGTTAACCATCATATTTATTTACGTTAGATGTTTTTATCGGAAGACATATTAAAACCGTTGTAAGGTCATTGCAAGAGATTTACGCCAACTATCAATCTACATAGCAAGTAACAGAAGCAGAATTTTATTTCAAAGAAAAGTGTAAATTATCGTTTCGGTAATCTGTCTGTCAGCATAAATTTCTTCGTTAATTGTATGGGCTCAGTTTTTCACTATCACTATCTGAGGTCTATCTAGCATGCCAAGAAACGCGTGTTAGGGCTCTTATTGCTGATTTTTGTAAAATAGTGAAAAACTGAGCCCATACAACTAAAGAAGAAGTCAAGTAAAAATTACAAATAAATGTTTCTATTTCTGGCTTCACCTTGCAACTGCAATATACAGGGTGTTTCATTGGGAAAGGGAAATATCTAAACTATATATAGAGGTCACCCAGGGAATCACAAAAAAACCCATATAGTATGGGTCTTGCGACCTTTATAACTGAGGGTGTTTTTGAATATGGCCCATTTCTACCGATCTCCATAACTTTTGAATCACTCAGAATATTTTTTTGATATTTGGCATAGATACAATGAAACACCCTGTATATTCCAATGAAAATATCTTTTGGTCCACTATAAACAGACCTCGGGCGGATTTTTTAGAATTATACCCAGGATCATCCACCCTTATAGCTGCACTACCGATTTGGCTGACACCATAAAATGTTAATTTTAAAAGAAAGAATCTCTTTTTGTTTAATACGTAAAGGTAGCAATCATTTATTCTTTTGAATCTTCTTATACAAACTTCCGTCATTGTTCCAGAGATCATTTATTCAATGCTTTAATCTCCGTATCAAAATAAACGATTAATAATTAACGTCCCTTCAAAACTCTCTGATGATTTATCAAAACAAGGAATAATTCTCAGAACTGATTGCGCCGCTTCAATGCAAGTTAATAGAACGACACGAAGGTCTTTATAACCGTTCTTACTCTCTCTGGGATTTTATTAATATTAGCCGGCGTATTTTCCGACACGAAATTAAACGAGAGAAACAAAGAGGACCTACCAAGAAATATTATTCAATGAAGGGGGTATAATATTGTGATAGAAATGGTTAATGTTCGCTTTTAGTAAGTTTTAGACGTATATAAAAGGTTTGTTTCCGTTCATTCCAATTTAACGGATATAACCAAAGAAAGCTTTTATTTAAAGTTCACTTTAAAGTCTCCTTTAATAGAAGTCGTTTCATAATGGTGTTCTTTACGTACTTTTACCAAAACGTACTTGTGCAAATTTGGCATATAAATCTGAATGTCAAGATGGCTTGGTGGCTTATTGGGTTTGCGTTAGGACCTTCGTTTCTTACAGTTTGGCCAATCATTTGTTCGTTACGGCGATTCGGTATCACGTGTGGTTTTTAAAGGTGTATCGCGGAAAGAAAGGGTGACGTAATCACCTTGTCGATTTTGGAACAATCGAGAAAAGCTAAATGCCTCGAGGCAAAACAAAATAAATAGTTGTTGAAGTATTTCAACAGTACTTTAACAAATATTTTCATGTTTGTTATTGATGATTTATAGGAATATAAGCCATAAAAATGTTAGTTTTAGGTTTAAAAAAAGTACAAATTTTGAGATAAGACGTTTGAACATCGATAACTTGTTTTGCCAAATTTTAAGTAGATATTCATAATTAATTTTAGAATATGTTTTCTTTTATAAATCTACAACCAACCTTTTGGATTTCTGACTTGTGACACACGAAAAAAAAAAAACATACATTTTAGAAACAAAGTACAATATTAAAAAAAATATATTCAGGAATAAAGAAATAAAATAAAATATAAATAATAACATTGAAAACTATAAATTATTAAAAAATCAGTTTTTTTAATAATCTAAACTGGGTTGCAATTATAAAAATCACATCACAGCAAAGCTCGGGCATCAGGAACATTTTGGGATATAACGACATAAGTCTAGACCATCACAACATTCAGTGTCTAGAGGTAGAGCATTTGTGTACAGAACAAAGATGTTTGGATTCGAATCCCACAGACGACAGGCTTTTTTCAAATCTGCTAGTATTTGTTTTCACCTTTAGGTTTGGGGATGGTTTTAATAATTCGTAGGGGGATTTTTGAGATTTGTTTCCGAATTTTCAAATTATTTCTACAACTTATTTCAGATAATTCTGGCCTGTCGGATTTTGATTTTCGATCCACGATATATTCAATTCGCAATCTTTATAATACATTTGTTTGGTTTACTTTTTCTTTTACAGTTTTTGGAAAAAACGCTTAAACATTGCTGTCTCCAAAAGTAACTTCAGAAAAATTTAACCGAATGAAAATTATTACGATTGCTCTTCGTTGGATAGTTTTTTTTTTATATACAAAGAAAGAGAACTCTGCTGTACTGATACTTTGTATCAGCGCCTGCCAGCTAAATCTATCAACATAACTCTAATTAATTTAAAACATTTACGGTACAGAACACTATTGATCGATTTCATTTGGTAAAACTTTTTAATTTAACTTTCATAATAATGACTTGTTTGTCTGTTGTCAGGAATAATTCGCGATATAAAAAAATGCTGTAAGTTTAACAAGTTGTACAACATAAAATCTGACACAAAAAGTGTGTCCCAACAAGTTTTATACAAATGGAAATATGTTTATCTTGATTTTATAAAAAAAATCTTGTTTAAAAGTTTTGCATCACTTCGAAATCCATAATTAAGCATTAAATTTGATAAAATTTCAAAAACATCTGATACACACTTATTGATTACACTTATTATTTGTTACCATTTGATATATAGAACACGCTCGGTAATATGAACACAAAAAATCCTGACGCGTTCATATTACGGAAACTGTTCATACTAATAAAGGTTTCAAAAATATTAAAAAACATAGTCAAACTGCATATAGTTTTTATTATTTTAAGAATACATTTATTTCAAATCCCTTGCAGAAAAATATGAAGTTATTTTGGATTGTTTTTGCTTAACAGACAGATTGGCTAAGACAGATTTTTCATGAATCTTTTTTAGAGTTATGATTTCACTTATATTTGACGCGTTCTGTTGAGCCCATTTTATTGCAACATTTAGAGCCTTAACTGCTTCACAATGTGCTACTCTAGTCCCTGAGTCTGGGATGATCTCAAAATCACTTCCTTCGGATTCATTGTCATCGTTACACTGTCTTCAGTTGAAACTGTATCTTTGTTCCATTTCTCTACGTCTTGAGGAGTATATTCGACCTGTAATTTTAAAAATGAACAGAACATTTACATACATTCGGAAAAACACTGTACATAAGTTAATCTTGGCATTTGAATTTAAACCTTACAGGCTCTATTGCTTGAAGCAGGGCGATTGTGTCCTCAAGAGCAATGTCAACAACCCTATTTTGATTTAGTCCTTGTTGTAAAACAGAGAGTGGTAAGTCGTCTTCATCCAGTTGTCCTTGATCAGTTTCTGCACTGACGTTTACCATAATATTATGCCAACATTTAGAGATAACATCAGGACTTAATTTATCCTATGCAGCTGCTAAATGTATAATTGCGTCCCTTAATGTAATTTTCTTAAGGGCGATTCCGACTGGATCGTCCTCAGCCACAATGCAACTAAGTAAACTGTTTCTATAATAAAGTTTGGTGAGTCTG